ACCCCCAGCTCTGCGAAGGCATCTGCGTCCTGAAGGATGCTCAGTTTGCACGTGAGCACAAGGAAGCGCAAAGAGCAGCCCTCGCCCTTTGGATCCGGACATAAGCGGAACTGATGTCCGGTTCCCCCCTCAGCTTTCCCTAATGACAGAAAAAGTAAAAAGGCTGAGGAGAGAGGCACCAAGAAGGACCCGCGTACCTGTTCCTATCCTCAAACCGTTTTGCACACCTCCGATGAAAAAGTCTGATGGCTACACGTCTGTGGATTCAATGAAGGGCCAGCCCTGAGTGCCACAGGTACGTTCCTGTACAGACAGGCGTTGCACCTAAGTACTGGAACAGCCTGAAACGCCGAGCTCCCGCTGTTCGTATCGCCCCTGCATGGCAAGTGGGCCCTACAGATGCCACCCACCCATGTGACAGGTGACTCCATGCTCCTTCTAGAGAGTAACTAATGTGCCTTTTTTGTCTGATGGCACGGCAGGGGTAGACAGGATACATGAGGGCAGCACCGTATAGTGAAGTCCATCCATGATATGCAGTCACCTGCACATTCTCTGAAACTGAAAAGTTCTGCAGTTTTTCTTCTTGAGAAGCCTAGATGATGCATCCTGCTGTAAACCCATTTCTGAGTCCTCAAGGTGAGCAACATAGGTGGCCAGTTCTCACTAAACAGAACTGTGCAGTTTGCAGCTTTACTTTGGCCTTGGCAGGATGTTCCCTGAGCTTACCATCTGGACTGTGAATGTTTTACCTAAGTTTTCTTCCGTCCCTTTAATATCTGGAAAATGAGAGGCTTTCTTAATTCCCTCCTCTTTGTTATAACTTCCCCCAACTACCCTGTGTAAGTTCTTCAGTAACCATCTTTGCTGTTTCATATTCTTGATGATTTAATTAATGACAAAAATCGTGCTCAAGAATTCAAAAACCTGATCCTAGTTTCTCCAAACATTCGGTCTTAGATTCTAAAAAATAACATTTCTGTTGTTCACAGTGAGATGAAGATACTCTGCTCTTTTTAGGACATGATCTCCAGTATTTGTCTTCATATACAAAGAAATATTTTTTCCAGCACCAATTCTGCCATCCGCTACGTTTTCGTTCTTTCAATTTTTTAACCTTATCATTATGTTATATCTTGATGTTTTCATCCAATCTGATGGCACTTCATTTGCTGCCTTGCTATTGATTTATCATGTCATATTACAGAGACATAATTTTGCAATGCAAGTTCACAGTGATTACCACTTAATCTTTGCCTGCATTCTGCATTATCACCTGAAAACACTGAACTAAATCTAACAAAGATGTTTTAGAGATCTGAAGTCCCTTTCCACCACTGCTTCAATCAAAGGAAAGCAGCTCAATCTTCCTAGATGGGGTTATGCTGAATTACATGATTCAGAAATACAAGTGATATTTTAAAGTGAGAAAGGGGCCTACCAGGCAAGAATGACTTTCAAAAACTGTTCTGGAGCCGGTGGGTGGTTGGAAAGGGAAAAGAATCAAAAAGAAAACAAAGCCCCAAAACTTTTAGGTATACGTGTCCCTTGAAGGCATTCTTGCCTAGTCTACAGCCTACATCTCCGAAGCTGTGATTCCTGACCACAGCCTCAGTGGGGAATTTTCACTTGTAATCTTTCAGGTACCATGCTCACCTGTACATTACCAAGTTTGTTTACAAAGCCAATGCAAAAATGGTGACTGATGATTTAACATTCTTTAAAATATTTTCTCTAGTAATGAAAGCATCAAAATGTTTTTGCCTAAGTAAGTAAAGCACAAAGGAAATACACAATGTAGACAAATGAAGAATAGTAAAGATGGGTAGTAGAATAATTTTTTAAAAAAATTTGGCAAATTTTAGAATTTTATGAACAAGTACATTTTTACATCTCAGAACTAAAGGAAGACTATAAATGTATTATAGTTGCTTTGATAAACAGAATGTTTCACTAATAAGCACACATAGAGTATTCCTATTAATGGACTACGTCCCCTTACAAATAGTGCAACAAACTCCAACATAAAATAGTACAATATAATTTCTCGGTGTCTTTTTAATCATACTTGAAATATGAAAACATTGTTCCACTGCAATTTCCTTTCTAGTCCCTTCTCAAATCATGAATCGGTGACAGTGCTTAACAATGTGCCTAATTTTAAGTGTGATCTTACATCACAAACATAGTTCCAACGCACCTTGAATGTTCTTAGATTTCAACAATGAATATTTTTGGGGCTTAATATATACAGGAACAGTAACACTTTCCTGACTTAGGGGGTTGCATTTTTTTTTAAACTATTCACCTCATTCATCTTATTAGATGTTAATTGGTGTGACTACATGGTCACCTAGCAGAAAGGTATTGGCTCGCATTGGCCTGCCAATATGTGCCACTGATCTTAACCTTCAGAGTATTTCCAGTATGTTACTGAAAACTCTGCATGGTGCTTCAGCAAACTATGACACAGCTTTCTTCATCTAGAAATTCTCATAACTTACTCTTTTTCACTGCTAACTTTGCAGGGAAGATGCCATGTACTCATATATCGATAGAAAATATCTTCTAAAAATCAGCACTACAGGAAAAAGTTTGTAAAGGCAGGTATTTTTTCTATGGGGAAAAATAGAAAATGAAAAGGAAAAAAAATCCAAATGGAGAAAAGATAAGAACAGGGACCAAGAATCAGCTAGCAAAACCGTCACACCAGCTATCACCTAGAATGGCTTGTTTTACAACAAAATTTGTTCCTCTTACATGTAAGTTTCTCTGGTAAAAGGGAAAAGACACAATTGCTAAACTTAACGTCCTTACCTCAAAAAAAAAAAGACAACAAATGAAGATAAATCTTGCTGTGGAAGATTAAATAAACCATGGTAAAAATTGCCATCAGGCAGTTTCAATTTATGGATTATCTTTTATGATACAAATTCAGTGATGAATGACTAGCGATGGGGATTACTTCAGAGGAATATTATTTCTTACCCGACTTGTTCTTGCACTCAATATCATAGCCGGTGATTGGGCTGTTTCCATCAAATCCCATGGTCCATCTGAGGGCAATACTGCGTGCTCTCACCTCTCGGATTTCTATTTCAGGAGGGTCGGGAGGCTCTGGGTAAACACACACACACAGTTTTAGTCAGAAGAAAGCCTGTACTCTTAGTAAGATAACATTAACGAGTGTGGCACTGGCATAGCTTACTGGTGGTAAGCTCTCATGGCATTTTCTCTGGTCACTCATTAGTACCCTGAGACAGTTAATCACCTGCTGACGAATGCTCAACAAGGGAGGAAAAGTCACTTTTCAACTAGGAGTCACTGATGTAATCTTGAATACTGACTTCTGTTTAACTTTCTTATATGCAACATAGAGTTGCATTTCCTTAAAAGCACTCCAGATTGGACTACTCATGCTAGAAAAGATTTTTGCCTTGAACACCATGTTTCACTGATACTTCTACAGTTTTTACACAAAAGGTGATGGTATGAATTGTGAATACTAAACTTAAAAGTGCTAAATTTGGTGGGGGGAGGGAGTAAAATTTCTGTCTCTCTGAGTATGTTTAAAAGTCTTCAATTAATAACAGAATAATTTGGTAACAGTCTAAAATTTCCCTAAAGCCTCTTTCTGCCTCTAGAGTTAAGGATGTAAATAAATAGCATTTATACCCATTCTAATGCCCCTTTAAATTGTCACGGCAGTTTAAATGAGCAGTGGTGTAACTGAGAACCTATCCCCAAACTCCACCTGAATTTTTCGACAGGGCTGCCTTAGGCATTCACTAAAATCTGCTGTTACTTGAAATCAAGAGTCGGGAGAAAGACATTTGCAAGTCCCAGAAATTTGTTGTGTGCATGCTCAAAGGCATACAAGCACAGGAACAGGCATCGCACAGAAATAAGCAGTGGCTAGTGGCTGAGTCCTGCCTGTGCTCTGCATCTCAAATAGTGTCACCTCAGCCACTCCAGTCCTTGCTGCTGTCTGCCTGAGTGAAACCCTGCGGGAGGGGAACCCCAGCCCCAGGCAACATAGCTTCCTAGAGTTTGCATTGTGCAAACTGATTACAATTTATTTGGACTGATTAAACTTGAAATATTTTGTTTAAAGATCCACAGTAAGTTTAACATTTCTCTAGAGGCAAAGTCAGATCACTTTTTTTTATTTCAGACTAGGGTTTTAAGCACATTTGTTCTTTAAAAACAAATGCAACCCTCTCCCCCCAAAAGTAACCCCCCCATATCCACTGCCCCTACTGAAGATGATAGTTTTAAGTTTCTTTAGTAGATCGTCAGCTAGTGTATTTAAGAAAAAATCTCCTTACTAATTTGTACAGATCTAGAAAGACTCGAGCTTATCCTTTATTTTGATTTAATCTGTGATGCTGGAAAATGAAAGACTGAGCATCTTAATGCAGCTCCCCATTTCTTTGACAATGAGGAATACATTTAATTAGGAATCAGAGCCTCCCTCCCCCAACAGATTTCTGAGGATGGCATACACTTACTGTACTACAATAGCTGTGTTTTTTTCCTTATGTTGTCCTCTTCCTACCTTGCACAGTGAGCTGAATTATTCCACGATCCTCCCCATAAGAATTGATGGCATGGCAGGAAAAGAAGCCAGAATCTTCACGCACAGTTGGCAAAATCTATAGGTGGTTTGAAAAGAAGTGATTGATTGAACAGCACGCAGAGAAAATAAACCAACAGCTTTTCTGTATGGTGCAAGAAAAATTGTACAAACTGTTTTACTTGACAGTAATAAATAGATATTGCATGTTATACACATACATACATATGCATAGTAAAGCATCCAAAATACTGAGACTTATCAAAACTAGCAACACCTGGGCTGAGGAAGCAGGCTATCAGCTCTACATGTGTAGTCAGGAGTTGGAGCACCACCTATTCCTGTAGCTTCTCATTAGGAGTCTTGTTTCCAGTTACTCATAAGTTTGCCAAGTATTTAACAGTTGGCTGAAATTTTCCATACAAAATGGTGCTTCCTGCTGCCTCTGAATTTTTCCAGTTATTTCTGAAAATAACTCAAGTGGCTGAAGTCTGTGTGGAGGAAATAAAGGTTCAAACACTGGTGGTGAACCCTGTAGTATTCAGCATGGTGTCTCATAATAAAATTTTGGGTGGTCATTCTTTTCAATTTGTTATTTAATAACAGAAAGTTATACATAATCTTTACGTATATGATCATAAAGATATTTTTCTACAGGACCACTGCTTCATTCAACGTACAATAGGGAGAGTATTTTTTTAAATGAGCAGATATTCCAAATACCATTTTCTTATTGTTCAGTGTGCTGCTCCACACTTTATTTACTGCACACAGTTCAAACTGTGCCCTGAAGACAGACTTATCCATTTTCTCACAGCCTCTTCTGTGGCATTCACCTATGCTATACCCATTTCAGAAACATTAGTGAATTTATTTTCATAAACCCTGACATCATGAAGAGTATTACCACCATTTTGTATGGGGAATTAAGGAACCAGACATACGATAACGTTTGTGGCTGCTTGACAAGTTGCCACATATTAGCTGAGCCATGGTAACTCCACGTGCTCTTTATTCCTCAGCAAAGCCAAGGTAATATGAGCACAACTCTCATTCACCACTGGTTAAGATAAATGGATTAATTTCTCACTCGCTACAAGGATATTGGAGAGTTATCATCCGAGATGTGGCAACTTGTCAAGCTGTGTTAAGTTGCGTGTGTGGCTGAGCTTTAAGGTAGGAAAACAAAATTTTTCAGAGCCCAATTTGATACATCTAGGGCCTTCTTTTCCCCCCTCGGAGTCCTTAGCAATAAATAGCATTTCATGTGTTCATAACAGCTTCCATTGAGTTAAGCTGCAGCTATGAGGGCTTAGTACTTCTGCAAATCAGACCCCAAGGGCTCAAGGCAAGTACCTAGAAAACAAAGAACACACAATTATTGGCCACCTGTGAAAAGTTTGGTTTCAATGATCAGCCTTGCATCACAGTGTCTTTCATTACTCAACCCTAATTCAACTCCAGAGAAAATCCAAGTCATGCCTGACTGAGGTAGGGGTCCTGCAGAAAAAATAAAAGCTGAGTATACAACTACAGATCACATCATCATGCACACATGCAAAAGCACTGAGTTAAAAGCTTGAGAGACAACCTTAATCCTGACATTTTCTATTTTGGGGACATTTTAACTCTCATAAGTCAAAGGTTTTGTATGTAACATACATATGGATGTAGAATGCCACTAACGTACACAACTGCTTCAGAAGAGAATTCTCCAAGCAGGTTTCCAGCCTTCCAAAAAGAAATGTTGTTGTGCATCCAGGCATTATCTCATTAAAGTCAATAAGATGAATGAGGACGGAGAGGTGTAGGGGTCTATCCTGTAATTATTAGTAACACAAATTCTAATATGAACAAAGTCACACATAGAACTTACTCTTCCTCACAGAAATCAATGACAAAGCTCCCTCACAGAGAGCAAAACCAGATTTTTACTGGATATCATCCAACACAATTTTTGGCTAGTAAAGAAAGAGATATACCTTAAGAGTTACACTAGAATATAGGCAATCACCAGAGAGCTCAAGAATTATTTCCTTGAGCCTGGTAAAAATGTTTTTAAGAATATGACTGAAAAATGGAAAAATCAAGATTTTTTACTGAGAATCTATATGATTTTAAAAAAAAAAAATTAGATTTCATAAAGGCACATGTAAAAATATAGAGAAATGGACTGATGATGTGCTCATTAGTTGTTGGTAAATTTTAAATTTGAGTGGAAAAAGCTGTATCCTGGTATTGAGGGCAATGTCATAGCCCCACCCATTGTAGGTGACACCAAAACAGCAGGAGTTTCCTGTGCCGCCATGGCATCTTGGGGAAACTTACATCCCCAAAACAGCAGTGCCACTCATGCAGTCCCTCAATCTAATCCAGGTCAGCCATTTAGGATTTAATGGAGTCCACACACTGATCTGTCAGGCAAGTCAAGTTGTATGATTTCCACACCACCAGACAGCTGCCTGTCACAGAAGCAGAAGTGAAGATGCAGACTATGACCGTTTGTTAGGTGGCTTAGTGACTTCTGCTGCTGTGTACAGTAAGTGCCAAACACAGCAGCAGTAGAAGTACTACTTACGTATCTACATGTGCCTGCTTCCATCTCACTTTGAATCCGATGACTAACCTGACTTTGTAAAATGGTCTCACAAGCCCCACAAAGTGAAAGGGAGGGAGAAAAAGTACTTTAAGATGACAGTATTTTTATCCAAAAACAACTTAATGATTTTGGTGAAGGTAAGCCTGACACACGTCAGAGCTAGGGGTCAGATATTCACTCAGCGCCTATCAGCAGTGTAGTCAAAACTGAGCGGTGCTGCCCCAGGAGAGGCAGGCTAAGGCATGAGCCGTGTCGCTCCTGAGACAGAAAGGATGGTGGGGGAGCTGCGACCCAGGCTCACTGTCTTGTTGCCTCTGGAGCATGGGAAGATGGAGACTAATTTTTCTCGGGGGTGGGATGCCGAGGTTTTGCTACCCCCCCTCTTGCTGCCAGCTCTCCAGGGCTGTGCCACGGGTGGAGCGAGTGGTGGGGCTCTGACCTGTAGGGCAGAGGTAGCTGTGCATCCCTATCAAAACCAAATCAAGCAACACTCTCACACATGTAGGTGAGTCGTGTGTCACTTTGTTTTATTACCTGCAGAGTAGAGATCACTTCATCTCCAACTTCCTTGGTGGAAACGAGGTAACGGGACATTTCAGGGTTAATGATTCGGTCTTCTTTTTCCCAGCGGACTATGATGGGTTTCTCTCCATGTGCCGTGCAGCTCATCTCCTTCTTTTGACCTTGCGTTGCCAAGGTGGTATTTGGATAGGAAGTTATCATAGCTGGAACTGAAGCCAGACAAAACAAAAAAAGATTGTTCTTCAGTGAGCTGACTACTCTGATGATACAGGGTTGGCCCTTCAATCTGTGTCTCATTCAGCTTGTCCATATTTGACCATATGGCCAAAAACATGAGAAATTATTTTACTTTCATTCCTGTGTAAGAGAATTTTCTTAAGATTGACAACGGGCCTCAAAGGGAATGTAGCAGAGAGGAGCTGGGACTGGACAGTGGGGCTGTAGAGACAAGAAGATGTGAATCCAAAGGAAGCCTGGCTCCATTTGTTTTGCTGCTCACAGGACAACTTGTAACATAATTAAAATATTCACAGTACATAAAGGTACTGTAAGTAATAAGCATTCAGATATGGGCCCAATAAAGAACTGATAAATATTTCTTATTCCTTCTGATAAGCTACTGTTTTATCTGCTGACAGATATATGCTCTACCATTTTGTTTGACAGCAATGACCTATCAAAATGAGGGCTCAATTAAACCAGGAGTGGTACAAATTAAAAGAAAGGCTGTGCACCAAAGAGCTTACAGTCCACGTATGTGCTGAGTGCATAGTTAAACTGTACTGAACTGAAAGTATAATTAAACTGACAATAAACCTAGCTAGATTTCAGTTTTTATTGCATTCAGAAGGTATTTGCAGAACAGTTTGGACATAATTGTCAACTTCATTAATCATTCAGGACTGAAAAAAAATTTAATGTTGAAAAAAGTACTCTCTTGCTAGCAAGCATAGGCTTAAACCCCTAGTATTTTCACATTTTGGAATAAAATTTTTCTGGAAATAGGAAAAAAGAATCCCCAGAGTGTTTTACTGCAAACCCCTTCAAACATGGCATTTTTGAAACCAGATGGTCTCTTTGGTGTCCTCAGTAGCCTGTTGTTTCCTTTGCATATGATTTGTCCACCAATGAATAGCATCTGGGCATTTGTGAGTAGGAAGAATCAAAGCTCATGAGCCTGTCTTTCAGTTCTGGTCCTTTCCTTGCTTGGGAGAAGCTGGAAAGCCCTGGACAGCACGCAGAACTGCTCTCTTCTGAACGAATCTGTCCACTCCTTTCAAAGCGTATGAGGTGGCAGTATAGAGTCCCTTCTCTAAGCCCTTGCCCTCCAGGGCTGCCTCCTGCAATAGCCCCACTATCCTTGTTCTTATGCATGAACACCTGCCTCTTCTTATCAGAACAACTCACTCATTCCACCTGAACTTCTCTGGGTCTCTATTTTAAGACAATTACATTGGCACAGGACCTGATTTGAGGCCTTCCCGGTCTTTCCTCCCGCACAGATTGCATCTGTTGCTACCGGACAGCAAAAAAACCCCTTATTTGAATGAATTACTGTAATTGCTATTCTGAAATGTTAATGCTTGGTGGCATGACCTTTTCACATGCCAGAGCTGTTGATGCTTGGATATGACAATATGTCAGGATGCAGCCTTTTCTGTTCAAAGGCTTCCTGAACCAAAACAAACCAATTTGAAAATTAACAGGGCTGTGGAGCTGTGGGTTAGAGTTACAAACGGGATCTAATTACAGGAAGAACTCTTAGAAAGGTCTCATGTGAGACATGAGGCTCTTTAGGCACTGATATGCATTAGTGATGAAGTACATCTTGTTTAACTATTTGGATATTAGGTACCGATTAGTTTTGTCAAAGAGGAGCATTCAAAGAAAAGAAATGATGAATAACCATAATAGAAAATTAGGACAAGTCTGATTCCATCTTCCAGAGAATGAAAATAGCTTCAGTTTTATCTGGAGTCTGTCCAAGTGCTAGTACACACAAGGAGGTTACTTTCAGAAAGCTACTTTTTGTGGCCATCTGCTTGTTGCTTCCAAGCACAGAAGCTAGTGTGTTAGGCCTACACAGCTGCAGGCCTGTGGGCCCTGTATGTGCACTTCAACATATCTGCCCTCATCTGCAACACCTGAAATAGACCAATATATCCTTTTATGCATTTTGTTCATCAATAAGAGACCAAATTCAAATGAGCGGCAGGCTATTAAGGAGTCCACGTGACCGTCATTAGCTTGTGCCACCACCCTTCTTCTTCCATAATTTCCCAAGCCTCTCACATGTCCCTTCCTTCTTCATTTGCCGCACCTCTCCACATCTCTCTCTTTTCCCCTCAATCCAACATGCTCCAGTCCCCTTCGTTTCTCCTTCTCCTCTTCCTGCTGCAACCTCCTCAGGTTCTCACATGTTCCCTAACCCCTACAGCAACTTTTTCCTTCTCCAACCTCATTTCCTGTCCCTAATTAAATCATGCCAACCTCCCAAGTCACCTAAGTGATTCTATCTACAGCTGCAGTCCTCCTTCCCGTCAGTATCTCCTACTTCAAGTTTCTCTGGTGGCGGAGGGAGCATGTGCTTAGCCCACCTGGGAGCTGAGGGGTGGTTTGTGCTTCCCCACCAGGCACCCGGGCTCCCGGGCAGGAGGGCTCAGTATTTGGAGCAGGTGAGCCTTGCACTGGCAGGTCTACCCTCCTCCTGCTTCATGGGTAGGAGCACACAGTGTGCACGCACAGAAAACAGGACATTTGGATTTGGATTTAAATTCTATGGACCTCGAGGAGCCTCCTTCCTCAGAGACTCCTTCCTCACTTTCAGGTCTCCTAAACAGCTGTCTACCAAGAGTCCCCTGATGGGTGACAGTGCCAGACCAAACACCACTATCTTGCTTGCTTTTTAAAAAACAGAGGCTAGCTTATGAAACTCAAAATGTTTTCCAACAACCTTTCTTAATCAGAGCATCATAAAAACATGTAAAGAAAGATGACTTTATTGCTCAGATACAGCTTTATCCCTGCTTATCCTTCCCTTCTTCTCACGTAATCTTCCACATGGATTCCTTATTGCCATAGCGATGCCTCGCAGCTAAATGTCTCCCCTTCCTCCAAAGCTGACTTTTTACTCTTCACAATTTATCTCCAATGATCCTAAACCATAAGCTCTTCTTTTTATCTTCCTCTATGTCAAAAGATTTCTGGTAACAAAGCCATGTTCCCAAGGATATTTTAGGCAATGTAGTTCTTCATCCTCCAACTATCTTTAATCAAATTACTGATGCAAATAACTGAGATAAATATGCTGGCTCTTTACTGACAAAATAATCTAGAAAAGTGTAAATAAGCAAACTAAATCTGTACTATATATGCATGAGATACTCTCTCAGGATGTCTTAAAAAAAAGTGAAGGCATTTAGAAATATATCAAGATGATTTAGATGCCATATTAAGTGTGTGTATCCTTTGTATCTCTTCAAATATACATTATATACACACACATATAATGATATGTATTTATATAAGAGAATTTTGGAAGGGAAGGGCATGTTGCTGTGCATGTTCAAGGAATGAATAGCACCACGTTCCAGGATTTTGGATTAGGCTTCCCTTTGGGACAAATTAATCCAATTCTCTATCCTCTGGGGTTCTCCACATCTTTCTCTGAAGCATGCCATGTGGTGCTGGGCATTGTTAAAGGTCTATTGGTCAAAACTGGACAAAATAGAAGCTCCAGTTCATAGATTATGGTGATTTCCATTTTCAAGGTATGCATATGGCTGCCAGCAACATTAATCTAGGAGATTTCTCTATTTAAAGTTGGGCTTCTGTTTGGAAAGTTGATTTGTTTCCTTCTTTCCCAGCTCAACCCATTGTTTTCCCCTTTCTTCGTGGCAACCCAGAAAGAGTAATCTCATTGCTTTATAGTATTAACAATTTTATCAATAAAAATCAAAGTGCAAAATTCAGTAGTTGAGGTTACTCTTAAGAATCATGGAACCGGTTCAGACAAAACAAGAACCTTTTGTCCCACTCCTGAAGAAAACTGAACCTGAACCTTTCCTGAGATTCAATAAAAATGACTTAATCTGACTTTCTTTTCTCTGCTACTGCTGGGTGTTTCATCAGGAACTGACTGCAAATAAAAATGAAAACATTTAATTATCTTGACAAAGACTAGTCTCATTATCCAGAATAAGGAGGCTATAGTAAGTTAGGTGAAGCTTGAGCAAAGTAACAGAAACTTTTGAATCCATTTAGAATAAACCTTCACAAATTACTAGAAAACCAAAATTCACATTCATTTTAAAAATTTAGTGGGGGGATAACTATTTTTTCTTTCTTTTAGGTCATAGATGGAAATAGCCACGTGGGAAGAAAGCAAATTAAAAGGCTCCCTATCTTTTAATTTGTAATTAAACACTAAATACCCTTGCAGCATCCTTAAATGATTCTAAGACTGACTGAAGTTCTCAGTATGTTTAAGAACTATCTCTATCTGTAGTCTCCAAATGGTATTTTTCTAGCAACCTGGCTGTGGTGAGAAGAGAGAAATACAACACAGCCAACGCCACAGTTGATGGGGAGATGCCATGTGATGCTGTACAATGTGTTTTGAGCTATATTGAAAGACTGCTGATCATAGCCAAACATTAATGTAGATTCAAGTTGCTCTTGAGAAAGAGGATGGAAAAGATGCAGCAGATAAACAAATCTAATGATATAATGATCTGGAGCTAACTCTCAGTATGCTTAAGAACTGTAGTCTCCAGTCTCTCTTTAAGAATCTGTAGTCTCCAAATGGTATTTTTCTAGCAACCTGGCTGTGGTGAGAAGAGAGAAATACAACACAGCCAACGCCACAGTTGATGGGGAGATGCCATGTGATGCTGTACAATGTGTTTTGAGCTATATTGAAAGACTGCTGATCATAGCCAAACATTAATGTAGATTCAAGTTGCTCTTGAGAAAGAGGATGGAAAAGATGCAGCAGATAAACAAATCTAATGATATAATGATCTGGAGCTAACTGAACACAGTGAGAATTTGAGAGTGTGCTCAGTAACACACATGTCCTGGACTCTTGTCAGTGATGTGACTCCTGGCATATCAACATGTCTCAGCATGTCTCCACTTCTCTTGGTCTGAAGATCTCTGCTCTGGCAGACTGTTCTTCCACATAACTTGGCTCCTTCACTGGAGCATG